TAGGGGGCAGCCCCCCTGCCCCCAGCGGTCAGAAGAGGCCTGTGAAGACGCAGGCTCCGCACACAGCCAGTCCCCACTCGGACCCACCAGACCAGGCAGGTCTCACCGAAAGGGAACGGCTCTGTGCCGCACCGAGAGCCCTGCTCCCGCCCCCGCCCCCGGGGCCTCCCTGGGGTTACCTTCTGCACCGTGAGGATCGCCTCCTGGGTGTTGCTGTCTGTGGTGACTTTAAACAGCTGCACCCCCTCCTGTCTGAGCTGGTAGGTCATGTCTGTGTTCTCCCCCACGTCCGAGTCCTCCGCCTTCACTCTCCCGACCACCATGCCCACCGGGGTGCTCTCCGGCACGCTGAACTGGTACATCTCTGCCCTGGGGTTACCTTCTGCACCGTGAGGATCGCCTCCTGGGTGTTGCTGTCTGTGGTGACTTTAAACAGCTGCACCCCCTCCTGTCTGAGCTGGTAGGTCATGTCTGTGTTCTCCCCCACGTCCGAGTCCTCCGCCTTCACTCTCCCGACCACCATGCCCACCGGGGTGCTCTCCGGCACGCTGAACTGGTACATCTCTGCCGAGGGAGAGGGGAGGCCACGGGTCACAGGGCCCCCATCTCCACGCTCCCCACACTCCCGGGAACACAAGGAGCTGGCTGCGGGGCACCTCCCCTAGGGCGATGCACCAGCCTCCAGGAAGAACGCCTGCCAGCCCCCCCCGGGGGCACGCCTGCCAGCCCCCCTCCGGGACACGCCTGCCAGCCCCCCTCCGGGACACGCCTGCCAGCCCCCCTCCGGGGCAAGCCTGCCAGCCCCGGTCTGATGCAGCACCACTCCCACATGGAGACTGCAACGCTTTTCCTGTCTCGTTTGCCATGTCCCACGTACGCTGGCAGCCACGCCAGTCTGGGCTTTACTGGGGGCGCTCATGGGGCCCAGCTGGAACCATGGAGGACGCCCCATTCCCAAGTACTGGGCACGACTAAAGAAACTCCCCCCGGGAAGTGGCTGGCGAGAGGCGTTCGGGAGCCCCCCGCTCTCTTGAAGCCTGACGACCCCCAGCCTTCCGGGGCCAAGGTCTCCGGGCGCAGCATTCGCACAGCCCCATCCCCCAGCCGAGCCTGCGGACAGCTCGCTGGCAGGGCGTGTGTCCCCGCACAGGACCAGAGGCGGGTTGCAGGGCTCTGGCCTTGGCTGGGGTAGGGATCCACTCACCCACATGGTGCCCGGGCAGGGCTAGAGCAGCCAGGTACCAAGCGGGCCTGGGACTCATTCCAGCCCACCTCTGAGCGCTGGCGTGGCACCTCCCCTCCTACACCCTGGGCCAGGTGGGCTGGTCTGCCACTGGCACGGGCGTCAGGTGAAAGCCCAGCTGGGGAAGGCAAGACCCAGCCCCACCCCTTCCACCCGAGGCCCCGCCCACCCCTGCCCGATCCTGTCTGGCCACGTGGAGAGCTGAGGCTATCGTAATGTCCCCAGCCCAGTCCCACCGTGGCCCCATCCTCTCCCTGCCAGGCTACTGAGCTGGCCAGCCTTCCCCAGGGCAGCCGGGCTGTCACGTTACCGGATTTTAAGGGGAGCAGCCAGGTCACTGCTGCACCCATGGGGGGTGTTCGCCCCAAAAGTGTTACAAAGGGGTCATGTGAGGTGTCACACAAACGCTCACCTTCCGCTGACTGTGTGTGCTGGTCATGTGATTGGACAATGTCTGTGTGTGGAGTTGTGTACATGGACTGTGGGGACGCTGGGAACTTCTCTGGCTGTGGCTGAGCAGTGGGCCAGGAATGCTCAGCCAATGGCTATGCTAATGAGCGAGGGTCAATGGATCTCTAAATGCCAAAGACACACCTGGCCACTGACCATGTGACCCTCTCCGGCTTGGAAGAGGCCAGGGATGGATAGAAAACGCCCTGTGGCCGACTCCATCTTGGCCTTCAGTTCTGCTCCTGATCCCGGATGCGGCCTCGCAGGGAATCACGAGCTGGAAAGACCTGTGGACCCATCCTGGCATAGGATGTGCACCAAGGACTTTTAAACCAGCAGCTGTAACATCTCTACTAGAGCCTGCATGGAGACTGGGAGATTGGATGCATGTAACGTACGATACTTTACCAGCCTCACACTCAGGCTTTTCTTTCCCTTAGTAATAAACCTTTAGCTGTAGATTCTAGAGGACTGGCTCAGCGAGATTTGTGGGTAAGATCCTGAGTGTAAATTGACCAGGGATCTGTGGCTGGTTTCTTGGAGCTGGATGCACCCGTTCGGGGTAGGCGAGGTTGGGCTCCAAAGGGCCCCAGGGCCTGTATGTTGGGCCCGGGGCCGTTTGAGGTATGAACGTGGCCGGGGTGTTGAGGGGTTTTGCTCGTGAGGCTTCTGGCTGGCCAGGCAGGCAGCTGGAGCGCTCGCTGGGACTGGCAGTGGCCTGTTTGGAGAGGTCTCCAGTCCAGGGCTATAAAAAGCCCCGAGTTTGAGCAATTCACCCTGAGCGGACGCCCTTGGCTGTGCCCAGACCCGGCTCAGCCCCTCCCCCCCCC